AATTATGTGATTATAATTAATAAATTTACAACTAAGAACTATAATTCTTACAGGGACATTCCAAAAATTGGCAAAAATCGCTATTTTGCGTTGATTTTTTCCATCAAAATTGATTTCAATGTGCTGCAATTTCTCAATGGATTGATATGGAGTCAAAGGCTTTTCAGCGTTGGTTATACGTTACCTTATGATCGACCAGGGGTCATTTTAAGCCTCTAACAAGTCCAAAAATTTTCTTGGCGATGAGGGGGACTACCGCCCCCCTTCAAACCCCCCAAACAGAAGGGGGCACATCCCCCTTCTGGCAACCCCCTGCAGTTTCTTTAAAATAAGGGGCGGCGCCAAAAAAGTGGTCACTTTTTTCTCAAACACAACAAGTAGTGGGGGCCTAAATAGTGGTCAGATTTCCACCAATTGAGACAGCAAAAAGGGGGTTGGGGTGAAAAAGGCGTTAAAAGGCTTGTGTATCTGGTAATGGGTTAAAGCAGAAGACCTTAGCTGTTATGCAAAACAAAACATATAATTTTCGGCGCACCATTTCTGCTACAGTGATCATTGTTTCAGAACCATTAGAAGCCGTTCCTTGCAAAAATGTTCGCATCTAAATTTACCTTGAAATACACACGAAAACGCGAACATTTATAAGATACACTTTGTGACATTTATTTTCTCTCGATTGCAATCAATCGCATATATTCTTAACGCAGGGGTATTAACTTTCTAACAAGACTTGTTATATAATAATCGCTGAATTATTGCCGTCACTGTGACTATTGTTTCACAACCAGTTGAATCTAAATTTCCGTCACATTTGTGCAGAAAATGGAGTTGTCGAAGTAATAGAAACAAGTATATTCTGGCAAGGCAACACTCATATGTCTTTGTGTGAGACATATTTTCAATATTTCAAAAACAAAAAAAACAAAAAACAAAAATGCAGACGACAAAATTTTGTCATATGAATTCGCGAACGCAATTACAATGTATATGGTAATGTTTTCGAACTAGTAACATGTGTTTTCTTATCTGTTTTATTATCATACCTTTTATCATTAGCAGAGATAACATATGATAAGTTGTGTGAATTAATCATCATCATCATCATAGTCATTATCATCATCATCGTCATCATCATCATCATAGTACATATGATTCATCCCCATAACGTGTCATAATCAATACTATAAAAATAGACATTTTATTCACTGATTCAAAGGAATCAACGTTGAACATTTGCCAAGTTTTATACATTCACACAAGAATTACAAGTTAGAAAGAAAGTGGAAACAAATTAGCTTATCTCCCGTTGACCACGGTCATATAGAACCTAACGTAAATGGCGATTACGTCCCTTTAACAGTCGATATCTTAATAAAAAGGCTAATGACGCTGATACAAAAGTCACTATCTGCTGCGCTCTGATTCTATTTCGATCTTCAGCAAAATGTCTTTCGATATGACAAATCAGCAGCACGTTTTAAGGGACTTACTTTCTGTGAAGAAATGACCACCGGTAACCGTAATGCTGTAATATCTCTTACATTTATATATCACCGGTACCAAAGGACGTAGGTGTATATACTGGACTTTTTCTAGAAACAATTCCCTGTTTATCTAACGGGGCTCTTATTTCATAAAATGAAACAGTATATAACAGTCACTGTGACTATTGTTTCACAGCCAGTTGAATCTAAATTTCCGTCACATTTGTGCAGAAAATGGAGTTGTCGAAGTAATAGAAACAAGTATATTCTGGCAAGGCAAAACTCATACGTCTTTGTGTGAGACATATTTTCAATATTTCAAAAAAAAAAAAAAAAAAAAAAATAATGCAGACGACAAAATTTTGTCATATGAATTCGCGAACGCAATTACAATGTATTTGGTAATGTTTTCGAACTAGTAACATGTGTTTTCTTATCTTTTTTATTATCATACCTTTTATCATGAGCAGATATTACTTAATGTACGTATTTCTATTCTTTTACATTGAAACATACTTATAACAAAACACTTCCAGTCGATGAAACCTAAAACAAATCGTTTGGCAAACCGCGACCTTACCAAATTTGGAAAGAGGTATGATATACCTAAAAGGAACTGAGCTGTACCATTGGCCTAGACTATTTATGACTCAATTGTTTCACAACAAATATGTGTTAAAGGTAGCAAAAACATTTTAACCAGGTCAGAAATGGACAGGACTAGTTTCAAAATTCACAACAGTAATTAATCTTTATCAATGAGGCTGAAATTGTAGCTCAAATTTGTTTCGTATCCTGTTTATAAATACTGCAAGATATATAATACAATTTAAAACAAATTATTTGAGTTACATTTGTGAACACCTAATATCCAGATAATTGAATTCATTAAAAATGTCATGCACGTGGCCAATAACCGTTGACATTTCACTTCTCGGGCAATTCAAGGATTTTTACTTTTTCTCCAGGAGAATGCATTCCAACAGCAGCATACACCCCTCCATATGTCTCTACTTCTGCATGGCCGATCTGAAATTGAAAAACGAGCAACAATCAATGTGACTACAAACACATAATGCAAAACCCATCTTTACAAGGATGTACATGTGCAATATGGCAAAAACAATATTCCAACAGAGGAAGTGAGGCAATTGATTACTTTAACAAGCTTTCTTCTCATGTAAAGATATAATTATGACAACTGATTGTTTCAGTTGATATCTTAGTGAAAAAGGATTACACATATCTTTTGCATCAATAACCTCACATGATATAACAACAACAAAAACAATAACAACAACAAACCTTAGCCAGCTAATAAAAACAACACGTTAGGTCTGTGGTTATATAGTCACGAATCATATTATTAAATAAGTAACGCATCCATAGTGTTTTGTCATGTACATAACAACGACCGAATAAATAAGAAATATCACAAGTAAAACATTTGATGATAAAAACGGTGCCAGTGTGTTGAGGATGAGAAATGTTGCACTTTCCATGTCTCAATAACAGACGCACTCAAAACGAGCCTGCAATTTCTAGTTTTAAACTTTGTTTCAATTGTTCTCGAAGTATCTCCCCTTTTCCAGACAGGAATACTAAAGTTTATTGTACTATGTGTACTATATCCAAAACCACACAAGCTCATAGTCACCGATTTGTTATATAAACACAGGAAATGACATCAACATTGATCATAAAAGCATGAACCAGTCTTATGACTGAAGACAGGTAGAGTAATATCTCATCGAAATAGTTTAAAAATTAGTAAGGTGGAGTAAACATTACTCTTACTCTACCTTTGAAAATGATTTCACGCATTCTTAAACCCTTGCATTTATTTATGTATTGTCCAAGATCAGGGTTACAATCACAGGATAGGTCGAACTCGTTAGGGAACAAAGGGAAAACAACACATGATTTGAATGAAAATCGGGCATTTATTTAAAATGCCATAAATCAGCATTATTTATACTAAATACACAAATAGATTTTATAACATAGTTTAATAAAAGATTCCCGAAAGGAACTAACTGGGAGGCAAAAACCGCCCTTACAAAGAATCAAGATGTAATAACATAAGACCTGATGTATTAACAAGAAAACAAAAGAGACTAGATCAATTTTAGAGCAAGAATAAGTAAAAAAGCATGCATCATATTTTCATGGACCCTAATCTTGGCAACATTTGAAAGAGGTGGTGGAGTTGGAGGAGGTGGTTTTATTTTTTCTTTAAAAATTTGGTAACAAACCAATGTACGCTAAAATGAACAAAGATATGGCTTATCTGTATATCTATTGGCTTAGAAAGATCACGTGTTTAAATGTAAACATCTGATTGGGTAATAGCATAATTTATGCGTCTAGCTAAATTCTGATTAACATCGCTAAGTTCCGGACGTCACAAATAGGGTCCAATGACATAAAATCTTTTATGTGGGCATAAAATATTATAGATCATGTAACATGATACAAACAAATACGATAAATAACCTTAAATTTGATTTTAAGTAGGAAAACATAAAATTTTGAACTTTAAAAAGTACATTTTTACCGACATAATATAATCAGATGTCTCTTTATTGATAAGTACACTTTAATAACAATTTCTATAAACATACAATGTAAGAGTATGTATATTATTTACATTTACTTATCTTAAAGATTTCGTATACTAACTTAAGTTACGATTTCTAATAAAGTTGTTGCAAATAAATAAATCTAAATGTTATATCTCAAAAGACTTTGAACACAAACACTGATTAATTTCTTATCATTTTAACATATTTGAGGAAAACAGTACACTTTAAACTATTTCAAACAGATAGATAAACACACGATCGTTTTGAGTATATCATACTAATTAAAATTAAGACACATACATTGTTATAAATATTTTTCAGGTCCCTCGGGATCATTGTGTCCAGCACTTTGAAGTGTTGAGAACTGAGTACCACTCAAGCCGGTGCTATGGGGCGTGGAGGATGTAGCACTTAAATATCCCTCGTGTACAGACTCAATCAAACCGAGTCTGTAATTTTCATTTAATTTTACTGTTTTTAATACTTCAGAGGGATCACTGTTTTCCAGATATTTGTTGGATTATGTTTTCTATAAATACTTTTTACTATATTATTTATTGTCATCACTTTATGCTCTGATTGCTAGTTATCTACTTAATTAACTTAAAAACAGTTACTTTCACAACTAGACATAATTGCCAAATTGCAATATAGACAAGCTACGAAGAACATATTTTTATAACTTATGTAGTTGTTAGATTTCGATTATTAGAAATATTTACAAATTGACAACACACAATATATTCATGATAATCTAGAATATCAGAAATTAGCTATATGTATCATCTGGGACATAAAAAAAGAGGGACATGCAACTGGAGATAAGTGCCATGTTATCCTCCGTATCCTCCGTCATGAAGAGTACTTTGTCCCGATTAAAAACGATGTAAGATAAGAGAAATATTAGCCAACAAAAGCAAGATTTTAATAATCCTTACATGATGTTTTGAAATTGTATCAATAAAGTGTAAAAACTATGTATATCGACCGAGCGGCTGCCAATTAGACGCCTAGCTTTAATTAGACCGGCAGTGTTGCGTGACCCGTTACATTATCTCCAAACTAAAATGCAATATAAAATGACTGACTTTTAATTCATTTATTATACTGTAGTTAATGCCATGATTTATCATTTATGTAAATATCGATATTTACCTTTCTCCCATTTCTTGTAAATTGAATTATATATGTCCTCAACATTCTGAAAAACAATAAAATTTTAACAGATACTTCATTACAAAGTCAATATCATTGACGCGTATTTTTATTACAAACTGCATTAAAACCTTCATTTCGTATCTTAAAATTTCATTTATTTGCAAAAATGTAACGTTAACATTAACATGTGTGTACATTATTTTCTTTATAAAGTTTAAGACTAATAAATATGATTGATAGTAAGTGGAATTGATTTTGTATGATAAACTGGCGGAAATCATTTTAAAAAAGATATGTCATAGTAATTTAAACAAACCCCACTTTGCAGATGCTTAATGACGTTAATTTGAACCCTATTCTGTCACCCACAATGCATTTAGGGCCAAATCTGTCTCCGACGTCACTTCCTTGATATAATCTGTAAAATCATACAATTCAAAAGTCGTAGGTTATATCTGCATATCAAATTCGTTTAGATACATTTAGGGAACATAATGGGTTTGCGACCAGCATGGATCCAGACCAGCCTGCGCATCTGCGCAATCTGATCAGGATCCATGTTGTTCGCTATCAGTTTCTCTACGTGTTATAGGGTTTGTAAGCGAACAGCATGGATCCTGATCAGACTGCGCGGATGCGCAGGCTGGTCTAGATCCATGCTGGTCGCAAACCCATTATGTTGGTTTTGTCGTGACGCGGCTCATATCATTCAATTGACATCAAATCTTAATGGCTCATATCGAATCACTATTACTCTTTCAAATGATAACGATACATGTCAACGTACTTAAGCATACAAATTTATACTTGGACATTATGATCATAGTATGTACTTATAGTCCACGTTTCATATAATAATACATAAATATACTCATATTGCAATTGAATAGACATCAGTACAAAATCACAGTGAATTGTTGGAATGCAAAAGCTCGCAAATGTACGTAATAATCACTATCAGATACTTGCATATTAAGTCGCTCAGACAAAGGCATTCTATTCTACTCATGCGATATTGTTAAACACATGCTAACATTGTAAGAAAATACATATACAAAACAAATTTACATAATTTTGCATCTTTTGAGTAATTAAAAGGACATAGATGTATTTCATTATTTTAATTAAAGGCATCTGCCAAATTATGAAGAAAAACAACATTTGGAAAATGTAAGATGTGCGAGTATATACGTTTAAACTAAAATGCGATCTAAAATATAAAATTACACGGGGCTCCCGTGACCGAGTGGTTAGGGTCGGTCTAGCCAAGGAAACGCAGGTGGTTTCACTCAGGTGCCTGCTTGTGTCTGAAATAATGTATGGAGGGGCTTTTTTATAAGATGATTAACGCACATTACATAATTGTGACGTTTTCCTACGTCCAATGTATGATGTAACAGATACTTTTGCAAATATGCTAATAGTAACGATAAAACCTGGCGAGTATTCGAACGTTGATTCAATTTTGTTTAAATGTCTTACAATCCGTCATTAGTATTATATCCTGCAGAATATTCCCCACATCCTGGCTGCTGATTTTCTGTATAATGTTTCGGCACTACACCTACAACTATGAAATAAAGGCAAGCAATTATCTGTATCGAATCGTATATACATGTATATTTCAATATACAATTTACATGTTAGTCATGAGCTCCACGATGCAGTGGAAATCTATTATCAAATTTAGAAGAAACACTGGAATAGTTTGACAATTTGATTGCAAAATATTGATATCTTTTCAAAAGGTTCTAAATTAGAGTTTTCAATGTTCATTTTTCAGTTACAAATTTACTAATAATGCAAACGGTTGTTTTGTGTTCGATTGCTTTCAAGAGTTGACTGTGATTTTTTAATATAAATAACCCTTAACATCATATCTTTTCTTATAATCCACATTTCAGATAATTCATATGGTACATATATATTGGTTAAAGGAGTATTCATGGTGAACATATTTGCACTGTACTGTACTGTATACAAAACAAGTCAGATATCATTCGACTGATGAACATCGAATAAAATATAACATCTTTAATACAAAAATATCACAATTAACAAAAACCCGTAAGTTTGAGTGTTGATATGTTACTAGTTAAAAAATCATAAGTATATGTCATATAATATTTAAAGTCTAAATAACATTCTCTTTTTGTTTCCTTGTTTAATAAAAATGCATTTTTTTCTTAATTTACGGCAAAAATAGTTGAACACATTTATATACCAATTGTACCACGCTGTCCCAAACTCACTATCTCAATTTCAAAGGAGCTGGCTCTGTAAAGAGCAATTTTATCAACAAACAAGCCAACATCGCCCCTTCCATCGTCACAATACCTGCAACGAATATCAATAACATTATAATTATATTATGACTGTAATTTAGAAGAAAACTTAAAGTTATTAAGATACAGGAAAACATTTATTGTGTATTTAAGTATCGTTATATGTTTAATATGATGTTCAATAATTAGATCTAGTTAGCAAAATTTATAGTTTATCAGTCTTCTTCCAGTTCATTACTACTGCTTTAATCTTTAACATCTTTATTTGATCATTGATCTCATTATTATTGTGATTTACATGTCATTTAACATGACCCTTGATTTGAAATACAAGTGATTCTATAAAATACATGTATACATATTTTCTTTAAAATCTTCCATGATCAATATACTTAAGATTTACTGTTACAGTTGAATATTTTCTTATTCATTATAATTTTTTTTCAAATTTTAAAGTGTTCCATTTTTTTCTTTCTTACTAACTAATTGTTATAAAGATATTTTTCGACGTTGTCACTTTAAATATGAACATGTCTTATATCAAGAACTTTTGGTGTAATGAATGACAATATAATCTTGTTTTTGACAGAAATAAATTATACTTAATAAATATTTCAGTAAATGGATTATATTCTGGGAATCTCTGTGTGCTTATAGATGCAAATACTTTTAGATGTGACATTACAATATGACTTGGTTGCCATTAACTTTATAATGTCCATTGAGAAAATGATTAATTAAGTTGTATTAACGTACGTCAAACAATCTTCTTCCACGGTAATATTTCTGCAAATCAATTGTCTTTCTTGTAAAAGTTGTGTTTTCGGCTGAAAACCGATATAAAAAGCAGAAGATATAGTTTAAGATTGTTTACTTTTTACTAATTATTTTCATATTTTGGGTACGTAAAACCGTATGACTAAATGTCGTAGGGTGACTTAACACCTTTACTTGCATGAAAGGGCACCCGAGTATAAACCACCGACGTTCTGTTAGCGGGCTGGATAGCTGTCTCACATGAAAGAATCCACAGCGGGATTTGAACCTACATTGGTGTGGAGTAAGTGGTTTTATGTCAACGATATCTACCGCTTGGCCACGGGCGCCCCTTCTATTCATAATTAAAATGCCTATGTAAAATAGCTTATGTAATTGTCAACAAACTTTTATCTAGCATCAATATTCATTTAGACCTTCTATGTATCGTTATCAAAAAGTAAAACATTCAATCAACGGGATATGAAGAAAGAAAACAACATTTTAACAATATCGTGACACCACTATCTACTACTGGATATCTAAATAATTATGATATTGCCAATATATTGTGTATAATTGGAAACATTTCTTAAAGTTACCTTAGCTTGTGGAAGTGAATCTGATGATTTAAAAGTTTCTTCTATTTGTTCGTCTTTGGAAATCTTGTCTTCTTTAAAAATATAAGATAATGAATGAAGAAATCCATTTGCTTTCTTTGCGAATGGTTAAACAGAATTTTTTTATCATTCATGAAATAAACATGATGGTGATTTGTGACGAGTGGTAAATGTTGCTCAAACCCAGTCGTTTTGCTCCTAATTTCTTCCGGCTGCATTCTTTTTTGCAATGGTGTTTAGAGTGAGTACATGTAACGCAAAGCTTACACATGCCCAACAATTTTGAAAAGAGATCTTTGAAATTATAGAATATTCAAAAGACTGTTATAAAGATATAAACCCGAAACTGTAACAGCGCCATAAGAAGAAAATGTCGAGAAATTACAATACAATGTGAATATTTATGATACACATTAACTTATATGTAGATATGATACAGTATAAATTGCTGACAAAATGTTTTTAACACTGGTGTCCTACAGTTTTTTTTATATAAGGTTCTACTCTTTTGAGACATTATCTGCTACAGGACCACAGCATTGAAATCATTAACAAAATTGTACGATTCGACAAGTAGGGATATCTAATATATATAACATGATATCAAACACCATCCTCTCCTTTTTGATAAATTTCTCACCTGTTTTATTTTCCTGCGTCTTATTCTTTATCCAACCAAGTTGTCCGATACCTTTTGTAAAGCTCATAAGGTCATTATTCTTTATTAGCTCATAAACCTCAATTTTATTTCTATGTTTGATGTCACCTAGTTGCTCCTTCAAGCGGTCAAGCTTATGTTTCTGCAACACCGAACAAACAAAAAGCTGGTTAGGCTCCTTCATCTTTGGCTCAATTAACTCAGATAGGCAATTTAATTCACCAATAAGACTTTTCGTTTCAACTGCTAAATTGTCCATTCTCAAAATGTCCGTTGCCTTAATGGTGTCGCTTTTCTCAATTAAAAACTTCGACATTTTATTGACATGAGAAATTATTTCTTCTCTAAAAACGTTAACATCTTGTAAAAATTGTTCATTTATATCATCGGCTTGAATTTTGTTATTCTCGATTGATGCCATTAGTTGTTTTGCTTCCTTTTGACACATTGCAGGTCCTTTGATAAAGGCTTGACATTCGCTACTGTCTTTAAACGCTTTAGCCTTGTCCTCAATGTACTCAACATTGCAAGTTTTGTGCTCAAGAATCATGCAATCCCCACAACCAACTTGCTCGTGTTTAACGCAATAAAACTTTACTACCTCATTTAAGTGTGTATCACATTTTTCTAAATCACCCCTTTGAACCCGCTTTGTAGGTACCTCGTTAAAATAAGCCAGAGTATGACCACGATTTAGCTTATACATTGTGTGTGTTTCAAAACAACGAGTACACATATACTCTTCACAGTCAGTGCAATATCCATTAGGTTGAGAACATATTTTTCTTGCTTCACAAGGTTTACAAGAAAACCCGTAATGTTTATCAAGATCCTTTTTTCCTGGTACCTCCATATTTAAAGTGTTGTTTAACTATATATTATTTTTACGCTTTACAAACCAGTCTAGTAGTAAATATCGAGTTATCTCCAAAAATATAAACTACTCCATCCGATGGTTGACTGTTGTATATTTAACAATATCACCAAAGCGTGAACATCGTAATCACAAGGGGAAATCTATTGCAAACATATGGAAAGGATGTGTATATAGTTGCTTTTTAACTTATAACCGATATCAACAGAATGACTGAGGCATATCAAAACTTGACATGTTCGTCTTTTAATCTGAGCAATAACCATTTATCATTCCCAGGAATATGTTTGAAATATCTACAGCTGACTGTCGCATAAGTAGAATTTGCTTCAACCGGCAGGCTTAAGTTGTTTAAAGTATAAATTGTTTAAAGAGTAGGTCGACTTATCTGTTAATGTATGCAAAATAGGCAGCATGATAGTTTTGAGGAAAACACAATCTGCTGATTACATCACTTTGGATGCATCTTAAAAGATGTTTTTTTTCAAACAAGACAAACCTCCCATAACCTACATGCCATTCTTATTTTTAAAATACAATAAAAAAGTAACAACAATGATTTTTTAGCATTTCTGTTTTAAAGTATCCTCAAACTATAGACCTTATATAATTTTATCTGATTAAAAATTTGATTAATACTGTTTACGGCGATTCACGGCAATTCACGCTAACTTTGAATCATACCCCCACCCCCTGGAAAACTAGCAATATGCTAAAACCCTCTATGGAATTTGCATTTCTCCTCTCCTTTAACCCCATTTCCCCTCCTGTTTATTAAATACTTGATCCGTGCCTGCCATTTGTGTTATTATAAGAATACTTGTGATTCTAATCTGGAAGTTAGTATCGTTGCAATCTTGTCTAGCGGAAAAGTTGTATTCACACAGAGGAATTGTCTTTTTTTGTCAATATTTTAGAATTCACTGTACCATCCTGTTATGGTCGTACTTTTATAGACAATAGAAAACGGCCTAGAGCTTAGATTGAAGACGTAGGAAGTATAAATATGCGGCTTTATAGATCTTACTGATGTTCATGCAGTGCCCAATAACTATAGCTTTCTTTCCCATAAATTTGGAGTTATTGCTCTTTGTTTTGTTCTTTTAATCTGACTTTTGTCCGGAGCATAACTCAAAGGATTTAACAGGAAACTTCGTAGGTTGATTCATCCTAAAGAAAATGCAGGCGCCCGAGAATCGTATGTTTTTTCCCATTATTCTAGAGTTATTGTCCTATGCAATGTTTCATAGTTATTCGCACAATTTTATTTTCCTGATTAAGTAAATGCATTTCTGTATTTCGAAATAGCATGATCCCACGAATCAGTTCCCTCTTAATAAAGAGCAATGCAGTGTGTTGATACTCCATGACAGTTGCAGGAAGTTTTAACTATAACAGCATATAGTGGGATTTTTTTTGTATGTTGAAGCAGTTGATTACTTAGAACTTCAAACTCTTATACTCTTCTCATGTATTTCTCTATCATAGAATTCAAATCGCTGACTTCTTAAAATATAATATAAACTCTGCATAAATATTAACGTTTATTTAATAATATGAGCAAAAGAAATACAACATTTACGTTATCATACTTGTCATCCTTTGATGTGGAATTATGAATAACATATACATGTATAACATACATATGTTCTGGTACATCGACAAAATGATAATTACAAAATACTCTTGGACGATGATACCGAAATCAATGTATAAGTTTACAGTACGCAGAAGTGAAACTGTACCGTAAAATAAGATTTAATGCATTCCTTGTTTGTATCACAATTTGTATCAGCATAATTTCAATTTAATTTTGAGTACATTTTTTTATCATCCATTGCAGATTTTTCTATTTTAAAAATCCTGTAACTCAATATATTTTATGGTTTGATATCATAAATGTGATGCTCAAATGAAGATTTATCGATTTTGTAAGTTCCAAAAGCGTTATTTGCAAAGAATTTGTTACTGAATTTACATTTCATGTGAATAAAGGGAGGTAATTAGAAATTTATTTCCGATAAAGTCTAAGCCAAATGTTTCAATAAGAAATGAATGCATACATTTTAATGATTGCTTACAATGTGCATAAACATTTGCAGTACATATTGAACATATTCTTGGATGTTTGGAAATTGTTTTAGAAGAATAATTATATACATATCTAAAATTTCACTTAAGTGTTGTAACATCCTAAATTACTACGTACATGATTGTTAGGAGCTAGACTTGATCAATGTAAAAAAATCAAATTTTATGTTAAAGGCTTTTGACCTTAGTGGAGTTAGTTTAATGATCTTTTGAATAATCTTTTACGGGACTACATAGACCGTCACATAATCACAAGATTTAAGCCATATAACATGAAAGTAATATTGGTATTATGTCATTATTTACAACATCAACACAACAAAGAAATTAAAAAGTAAAATGTCGTTAAATAACATAATATAAAATTTCAAATTGGACCTATACCATTTTACACAAACCATTGCATTACATATAGTTTATCGTTGGCAAATGTGTCATTAATAGCAACTTATAGTGGCCACATTTCACTAAGTTATATGGTTGGCATTCTGTCATTAATAGCAACTTATAGTGACCACATTTCACTAAGTTATATGGTTGGCATTATGTCATTAATAGCAACGTTATTACTACAGTGCACTAAGTTTTACCGTTCACATTACGTCATTTAAAGCAACATAGTAACTAAATTACACTTAAGTTAACATTGGCATTATGTCATTAATAGCAACGTATTTCACTAAGTTATAATCGATGGCATCATAGCATAAATAGCTACATAGTTACTTCATTTCACTAAGTTATATCTTTGGCATTGTATCATTAATAGCAACATGCTCATACTTAAGTTTATTATTTGCATTGTATCTTTTATAAAAATAGCATTAATACATAATGTGATAATCTTGACAAAAATTACTTCAGAAATATTACATTTATCGCAACCATGACAAACATGTAAAGTGTTAATTGTTATTTCAACAAATTTGCCAACTATAATTTCATCAAAACTGGTAAACAGGAAAAAACATATCCATTTGTGATAGTCCTGCAGCAGCAGACCGAGTGGAAATTTAAGTCACATAAAGTATAATGAGTTGGAATCATATATTGTTTATATGTTTTCAGTGTATGGTGGTGGAGAACCAACGGGCGTTTCTGAACTTTCAGAAAACCTAACATCGGTTGATGCTTCGTTCGTCGAGTCAGACGCAGGGCGGTTCGTCCCCTCAGTTTCTTCATATGAAGGGGGTGGAACACTTTCGGCATCATAAGGTGGAGGTTCCGGTGGGTTCTCAAGAGCACTGTACGGATTTCTTAATTGGTGAATTCTGAAGATCCGACGGACAATTATGAATACACCTGTAGTGTCGTTTTCTGATTCATTACGAGATTCTTCGGTGCGAGTCTGGGAAGGGGTCACAGGCATGCGTTGTTCACCAGCCGCCCTTGTTCGAGTCGTAGGAGTCACATGTTCCGACAGCCGCCGGATTCTTTGGTGGCGTACTCTGTAGCTGGAGCGAGCAGCAAAATACCTTTAAAAGAAGTATCCATATTCATTTTTATACAAAATTAACAAAAATGTCCTAAATGGATCTCGTAACTTAATTTACATATGGGGTTGCATATCTCCCTTGTACAAACATTAAAATGTTCAGTACGAGGGCTTTTTATACAGCAGTTAAGACACAAAAATGCAATATAAATATAAGATCCGCTTTTGACATATATTATTATTTAGTTTACTTGGCGGGATCAATTGAATTCATCTTTTTTTATGTACAATGTATGTATCAAAATAAATTCCTATTCACCAAAGGCATGAACTTGTAAGACCCTGCCGTAGGAACTTAGGGTATTCACCATGATGCTTTATTTAGAAAAGAAAAAACATTTGTATACCTTATAAATACTGAGATTATAGTCAAAACAAATACTCCAGCCACGACAAGACCTGGAATGGCGGCAGAATTGGTGCTGTCAAAAGTTGAGCTGCTGCTATTGTCACTGAAATCGTCATAGTTGAAAGGTTTTAACGTCGGTACTTCGACGTTAGGAATATCGAAGTCTATAGGCTTGAATGTCGTCGGTACATCGACGTTAGGAATATCGAAGTCTATAGGCTTGAATGTAGGCATGGTTTTGTAAATATCATCGTAGTTCCAACGAAAATTAGGATCTATGCCAACATATTTCTTTGTAGTTGATACAATATCTAAAAATAGATTCATATTAAAAATCAAAATTTTCGAGACAAATAGAATGTCAATAAATAAGTCTAGAGATTCCAGTGAAGTCTGCAATTCAAATCAAACATATATAATTTTTATTGCCTTAGCAATCGTTTAACAATCATTTGAGCCGCGTCACGACAAAACCAACATAATGTGTTTGCGACCAGCATGGATCCAGACCAGCCTGCGCATCCGCGCAGTCTCATCAGGATCCATGCTGTTCGCTCACCAACTCTATAACAAGTAGAGAAACTGATAGCGAACAGCATGGATCCTGATCAGACTGCGCATCCGGATCAGGATCCATTTTGTTCGCTTACATACTCTATGACAAGTAGAGAAACTGTTAGCGAACAGCGCAGGCTGGTCTGGATCCATGCTGGTCTCAAACCTATTGTTGGTTTTGTCATGGCGCGGCTCATATAAATAGAGCAACAACGATGGATTTGTCAGGAATATAAATTATTTTTCAACATGAAGCCAAGGGCCGCAATAGAATCAACACTTTATACATTTTAAAGTTATTTTACCTTATTAATATATAAATGATACATTTTATTTGAATCATTGCCAAAACACTTTCTTTTCATTTCTGTCCTTTGTAAAATAAAAGCAGAATAATAGAAATCAGTTCGTACAGGGATCTGATCATATATAGTACTCGTATGGCTTTAATCTTTAAATAAAATATAAGAGATAATAAAAATAACTTTTTTTAAGAAATAAAAAAGATAGCATTTCTGAGGCATATTGGGCCTTTAATAGTTAATACATAAACCATATACAACGTAGTTTTCAAAGTTAAAAAAAATGATATATATATAAGACTAGATGCTCGACGAATTGTTTTATTTTTACAATCAGCTGACTACTAGTATCTGAATTTTACCTGGCTTTATGCACGGAGTTTTGCCAGTTGTTGTCACCCATTGACCGGAAATGACATCACAATTTACATGTCTTATCATGTCTGCATGTTTGTATGGTTGGAAACATAAATATGTACAATCTCTTTGGCAATTACCAGAATCCAAAACCATTCCATGAGGCAGGTTGCGACAACGCATCTTTGGTCGAGCTACAATTTTTATATGTTGTCATATTAAGCTATGGATCATTTTGGAAAAATTATATATTGATTGTAATTAATAAAAAAAACTGTAATAAAAATAATCAACCTCCAAATCACGGAGAATTACGGTGACAGAAAGGTGACATCTGTGTGGGTTTTTATTTATTTCGTGCGCACGAGATAGTATGTCGTGGCCACGAGTTACTAAGTGGTGCGCATGAGATACTTTGTCGTGGCCACGAGTAACTAAGTCGACTAAGTAACTTGTGGCCACGACATAGTACATATCTCGTGTGCACGAGATAAATTAAAACACATGTCACCTTTGTGTCATTGTACATTTCTAAATGGCTTGGAAGAGAATAACGTTTTTTGATTATATATCCTACATTATTTTTAAACATGTCACTTTAAGATTTTAACAAATAAGTGAAAAGTTTACACAAATTCTTGAGATTTATTTACAACCTGTGTCAAAAGATAACAATTAGGTAAACATCAAATATTTATTAAGTGGTTACTCACTATCTTAACTAAACGTGTCGGAAACGAAAACCTACTAAATGTAACAATATTTCTATTTAAATAGTGTAGTTTAACCCATGAAAGGTACACGGAAAAGAAAGTCATTCCTACATCCTGTTTTGCTTAAACTTAACATATCATTAAAGGTACATTTGTATTATATGCATTTGTATATGCATGCATGTTCATATGTCCTTTATTTTAAAGTAGTTTATGACATTGTAAATTTCAAATAATTGTACATACTTATAATCGTTAAAACATAAATATATAGCAATGGAAGATTTAACAAAAAGGCTGCTAGCGGCTGAAGATTCCAACAATGTGACAGTGCAGACGACAAGTATCACGTGACAGTGCAGACAGTTATCACGTGACAGTGCAGACTATTATCACGTGACAGTGCAGACAATTATCCATACCGACGGTTCGTTTTTTTTAAATCAGTTTATATTGTGAAAAATATCCCTTGAAATATGGAATGGTTTTGTCCAGATTAAAATATGGCCAAGTCATTTTAAGACATTTTGGGTGGCGAGGGTTAAAAACGTATACAACTACACTGACCCTTATATGGTGAAAATAAACGGCAATGTTCTTTTGTTTATATAATCATATGAAAATGCTATGATATTTGAAACTATATATTTAAACCTACCAAGCATATTTAAAATAAAAGCGATGAAACATTTAATTATCTAAATTAAATTATTAAACTTTACCAGTATAAATATCCATCTTTACACTGATTTATAAAACTTGAATCATAATATTATCCAATCCTTTCAAAATGGCGGTCTGAAATGTTTACTGAAATTTGACAAGGAAGTATAAAAGGCGTTCATGCATGACAAAGATTATTGTTTACTGCATTGGTAAAAATGTTTAAATCACGCGAGAAATATAGCTTAAACAGGATCACATTCAATTAAGTAAAACATTTATAAACAGGATAAAAATAAACTTATTCATACAAACTTGTTTGGCATACATTGCAGGTAGCGCATTGGTATGCAGCTAGCAAATAAATAAATAAACAGATAAACAAATGAATAAACAAATGAATAAATTAAACGATCCTCTATGTGGATATCATTTTGCAGAACATACTGTACACAAAGTATTTGTAACTACATCATTTGTTGTGGTAACATGTGTTATTGAATGTATGTGCATGTATAAGTAAAGTTGTTTTTAAAATGTACTTTCGGAAATAGGGCATGTCACTTAATCACTTGAAATGACCTTAAACAGTAATTTGAAGACAATGTTAGCACAAATTACAGGCATATTTGACTAACGTAATGGCTATAGCAGTTCGGGCACTTTCTTTTCTTTTTAAATCAACAAATTGAGTCGGGGTTTGGGTGTGTGTGGGCGGGGGTACTCATAGTAGCTAGACTTACTAATTTTGTAAAGTTAAAATACTATGTTATACAATACAATTTTTGTTTTGTTTTTGTTTTGTTTTTTAATAAATCGTTTCAAATAACTGTCAAATCAAAAGAAATAAGAGGGAAAACGAAATTTGCTGATGCTTAAATAGGAAACCCGCAATCGACTTTAGAAACAAACGTCACTGCCGGTTATAAATAGCTATCAGTGACATATACGAATATGGTGGCTGAGTATCAACATGTTAAAATAGCGGATGCTGATCGAAAACACGCTTTAGAAGGGACCAAAAGTCGAGATTAAATTGTTATACGACGGGGCCGCATGCAAAATATTTATTGTAATAGGGCGCTAATGAGCGCCCCGCCGAATTATTCTTATCAAGGTCGACTTTTCGTAGCTTAAGGTCTTCAGCGTACCCGTTTATATAAGCCAGAACTAGACTTTTCGCTACGCACCACTGCTAATTATCGTGTTTTTGTCGCGGGCCCGCCGTTTTAGTAGTTAAAATCTCGCATCGCCAAGCTATTTAGCGTGTTTTCTATAAATGCCATATAAAATATATTTTATGACTATATTGATAAATGCCAGACGCTTATTAGCGGGTCGCAATTTAATAAATAAAAAGGCGCCTAGAGGGGCCGCGGAACGAGATTTAGGAAATAAAACGGCGAGGGCGCGGAGCAAAGCACACTGATTAGCGGAGGTGCGGGGCAAAGTTTAATAAATAAAACGTTACCCCACAGGGCACGGGGCGGATTCAAAAAAAAACAAAAAACGGCGAGGACGCGGAGCGAAAACACGCTTATTAGCGGGGACGCGAAACTAAGTTTAATGAATTTTTTATTTAAAATGGCGGGGCGCAGAACAAAAACACTCTATTTCCTACTTAATTTCAATGAAGATTATTGGTCCAAATTTAAAAGGATGACTTCAAACCACTTGCCCCTGACTGGTGTGGGTTCGAATCCCGCCAGGGGCCATCTTTCCTGGATTCTTTCATGTGAGGAAGCTATCCAGCTAGCAAACAGATCGTCGGTGGTTCTACTCAGGTGCCCGTTCGTACCTGAAATAATGCACGGAAGGGCATCTGAGGTCTTCCTCTACCAGTAAAGCTGGAACGTCGCAATACTATACTTTACAAACCTATACTGTGTCGAAGTGATGTAAAAACCCGATTAAACAAACAAACAAACAAACTTAAAAGTTATCACTCTTACAAAATGACCACTTCACTACTGATTACAATTTTATAATGATCACTGCACTTTAAAGCACACACGTACATAATGATCGCACCTTATAAACGAGCACACCTCAGGCATGGAGTATTTGGGGATTGGGGGCTCCCTTCTTCTTCTACGATGCACTGACCTGTTGAATATGTTTCTATCCACAAAGGGTTGTGGTGGGGTGACATTGGCACCAAAACGATCACCTGAGATCAGAATGGTTCAACTTTCTCTATAGTTTTGTGAAACATGGCATTTTCTTGTCATGACTAACCTTCACACCCACACTTAGGACTGGCACAGGGCCTTTTTGACACAAGAACAATAATTTGAACAATCATGGTATAGCTCTACTAGACAATGTCAAATGCAAAATACATCAGCATTAGCCTAAAGGCTTTTAAAGAAGATTTTGGAAAGTCTCATTGTATATAATGTTCTTCGCCGCTGTGCTATTTTGACCCTAGTGCCATAATTTCAGCATCATTGGGAGATGTTCACATTATGATGTTTCCGGTCAAATATCTAAGCTCTAGCACTTAAGCTTTCACAAAAAATCATGTTTGAAGCTTTCATTATATACATGTACATATAAGGAGCAGGAGCAGTTTTGATCTCAGGATCATACTTTTAACATAGTAGATATCTTTTAGATGATAAGAGGATATTTAATGCCAAATATCTAAGCTATTGCAGATTTAAGAAAAGTACATCAATAATATTTCATGCCAAATATCTAAGCTCTAGCCTTTGATACTTCAATGAAGATTTTTTTAATGTTATTACTAAATACAAGTGATAAATTCACAGAGTTAAACTATCAATAAACTTTTTCTTCATCAAATTACATTAAAATCTTACACATTTACTTGTAATTTCAGGTAAGTGAATGGATATTTAATAGTTAAGAAAAATAAATGGTATCCATAGCAACCAGTGTTTGGTGACTTGAAGCAAGTTATTATTTAATAAAGTATTCTGAATATGTTTAACATGCTATTGCGCATTCAAATTTAAAGCAGCACGGCTCAGGTTGAGCCAAAATATTTCAAGGAAATAGATATTGAGAAAAATGCAATAAACTTGTGAAAAGGTAAAAACCTTCAAGATCCAAGTTATATTTTACATGTTATGTGTGGTTTAACACTGATTTTGCAATATTCTATGACCATATTTCTACTGCGTTACTAACGCAGTAAGGGCTGTTTTTGCATATGTTGACAACATTTTGGTAATTTTTCTTGGATTGTAAGTGCCGATTACAATATGTAAATTACAATATTTGTTCACCTCAAATTATTTTACTTTTAAATACATTTCCAAAATTTTTATAAAAATTAACAAGAATCTGGCGGCGTGCTGCTTTAAAGCAAATTTGGCATGAACACAAACGTTTAGCCTGACAATTAGGCATTATGTCTGTAGAATTTGGAGATGCTGTGTTGGATGGTTATTTTGCATCAATCTTTTAAAGTCATGGCCTCTAAAAAAGCACATGACATCAACAAACAAAATTGAGCTGCTTGCAAATTTTGTGCCAGACTCAAACATTAATTTTAAGGGTTAAACACTAAAATAAGTTGAAGAATTTGGATACATAAATATACATGTACAATTGTACACACAAAAAACAGCTTTATAAACATTTTTAAAAATTCTATTCTCAGAATATTTGCACAAAGAGGAATATTGACAGTTTTTACTTGCAGATATGAACAGCTTTTTTAACCGTTACTATCAACTCCACCATTACCTACACAAAATTCCCCTCCTACAGCCTTAGCGAATATATTACTGCCAAAATGAATTCCATACTGTGCAATATTATTCAATGCACTCAAAACCAAGATCTTTTCCCTTATTATCATATTATCACAAGAACGCTGTAACACAACATAGTTCAATGGATTCTCTGGCCAAATATGGAGGTCAAGGTCACATTCTTGTGTCAAGGTCACATTCAGGAGTCAAGGTCACATTCAAGTGTCAAGTTCACATAAAAATAAAGCACACTGTGACAAGTCTTCCAAAGAATCATTTCTTTCTAAAACCACATCTTTTTGGCTTGCAGGAACAGTTTTATCATCAGACGTATTAAGTTTTTGTGCCAACTTTTTGCAATGATCCTGTTTTCCTTTACTCTTCTGTTTGTGTATATCTGAGGCAGACTGCTCAATTGATGACTTCAATGTTTTGAAAAACCTGCAAAATGAATCAAGATAAAATTATGCAAATGACCGGAGTAGGCTTTTTTTTTTAAATCAGTTTTAATATTATCTGCTTATCTAATGTTTAACTTATCTTTTTTTACCTACGAGATAATGAAAACTTTAAGTGAGATATAACTCATATAATGTTTTGAAACTGATTGAATTCATTTGGTTCCCGTTCTCTACATTGATAGAAATGGAAAAGCGCATTAGAGCATTACCATTACATCACAGATATCATCATGGAAATCAAATTTGGTAAAGTCTTAAGACTTTAATGTCAAAACTAAAGAATGCAACCTAAGATGAAAAAAAAAATGGTTATTTTATTATTCATATTTTTCATGCATGCTTAGCCCACAGTGAGACCTAGTGTATATACACTAAAGACAAACAAATATCCTTCATTCTATTCTTCATTTAGTCCAGGATAAAGGGGAAATTAAAAGTTATATAATGTTTAACAATTTTCAAGTTTAAGGGTCCTATATATATTTGCCTTCATTATCATTTTCCAGGACAAATAGCCTGGACAATGTAGAATTCTTTACTTTCAAAAAGGGCCATAACTCTATTAAAATCAATGTTAGAGTTATGAACCTTGTATATTGAACTCCTTTTATTCTCTAAAATAAGTATGTGTAGTTTCAATCCATTCCCTTTAGTAGTTATTGAGATACCAGCTCACACAATCGAAAAATTGGCATAAATACAAATGTGTGTAAATAAGCAAATTCAATTTATAGGACTTGTGGCAATCATGTTAGATAATTATAAAGAACAAGCGTCTGAAATATCAACCCATTTCCTGATAATCAGTAAATATAGTTTTGGAGATAGCAACTTGCATGCAAAATCTTAGCCAAACGCTACACTGACATCAATACCGATGCCTTGATGAGTACCGTAACTCTCATTATTCTTTGAAAAGATGAGCTAAAATTGGAAAATTATAATATTTCATTAGCCTTCATACTCTATTCATTGAACTGAATATTTAATAAGAACATCCATTACACTGTTCTATTACACCTTTATAGCAAGAGAAAGGGTGACACACAACAATACTTCATAAGTATAATTGGTCAATTGAAAAAACTACTAACTAATATCGCCTTGACATGTATTCAATCAAGGATATTATATGAGCCGTGCCATGACAAAACCAACATAATGTGTTTGCGACCAGCATAGGGTTTGTAAGAGAACAGCAGTGATCCTGATCAGACTGCGCGGATGCACAGGCTGGTCTGGATCCATGCTGGTTGCAGATGCATTATGTTGGTTGTGTCATGGCGTGGCTCATATCAGTTTTAAGTTTTATCAATTTAATAAGAGACTGTCAAATTATTGGCAGTTTAATAAATGAATGACAACATACATACCTGTTGATTTTCTCAAAATTGTCTTTCATTTTACCGTTGGCAATCCCCACAATGAACTCGAGGTACTGAAAAAAAAACCACAGATAAAACCCATTAAACAGAGTGAAATCAGTGTCCTTGATAACATTTGGAAAAACTTTATGCTTTTGAGTCAAAATATGGAAATTTTCAAGCTTTACAGGCTGAAAAAGGCCTCAGTTACCCCTTTGTGCATTATTTCAGGTATAGGCAACCCAGTAGAATGACCCACATGCTGTAGGCTATCTGGATATCTTCCTGACACAAAGGAACCCAAAGCCTGGTAAGATTTGAACACACAGTGGTGAGGAGCAAGCGGTTTGAAGTCAACAATCTTTATCACTCAGCAACAGTTTTTCTGATGTCACAGAATAATTTTCAAACCTATATGTGTACTAGAAAATTCATAACAAAGTATTCTAAGAATGGAAGTAAAGATAAAAAGTAAAATAAAACATTGCATCCTAAACTTCTGTATATCACACAATGATAATAGTTAAGTTGTGTTAAGAAACCAAATTACCTGGACTGAGACTAACAACTGACCATTGCACGATAACGGCACTTCCATGGAATGTGTGCTTCGTATACCCTAAAATATGAATGTAAAAATAAAAATTTCATTAAAAGTACTATCTTTATTTACACTGATATAATATTCTATGGGCTGTTACAAATCAAAACTACTTCTTCTGTTGAGGATAGCTAAAAATTACTTTTGGATTTCCTGCAAACTTCAGTTAGTTTTCAAAGAGTATTAGTTCAAACTATATTTCATTTGGAATCTAATGAATAACTTCCTTGCTTCAACATTGGTCATGAATATCAAATATTCAAGCATGATTTACTTGAGCCGTGTCATGACAAAACCAACGTAGTGGGTTTGCGACCAGCATGGATCCAGACCAGCCTGCGCATCCGCGCAGTCTGATCAGGATCCATGCTGTTCGCTTACCAACCCTATTACAAGTACAGAAACTGATAGCGAACAGCATGGATCCTGATCAGACTGCGCGGATGCCCAGGCTGGTCTGGATCCATGCTGGTCGCAAACCCACTATGTTGGTTTTGTCGTGACACAACTCACTTAAAGAAAATGAATGCATGAACATATAAATGTTTGTAAATTTGCTATAAAGAGGCAAAATAGTTTTTGTTCTAAATTTTCATTTTTGTACTTCCAATTTGATCATTAGTGCTTGAAGATGAAAAAAAGAAGAAGAAAAACTTACTGTAATAAACTTCCCTTTATTACCAACACTGATACCAGAATTTCTATATCCCGACCCAACAGCTGTACTCAACTGAAAAAAAAAATCCATTACAATTTATTTTCTTACACCTCATAAGAAAAGAACACATAAAAAAACACTTCAAACCTCTGGTTAAAATCTGATTTACTTTATCTTTATTGGGACTAAACATGCAAACAGAGCTGAACAACACTCAATTTGTATTTGCTGGACTACTATGTTTTACAATCAGTGTCATGTAAGGAAGGGCTGATGTCACAGCAATAGAACCTTCAGCACAAGCCTGGATTTCGGAGGGAGGTATGTCAACCTCAACAACTCCCTCTATAATTTTAAATCTACACAAAAATGAGAATGTTTTATAATTGCTTTAATACCTAGTTAGTATGGCAGCACAAGTAAAACTGATCCAGAATTATATTTGTGCAAGGAAAATGGCGAAAACTAGTAAAATTCAGACAGGGTAACAAAATAACTGACTTACTTCCTTTTAAGTTGTTTTTTGTAATCCTTTAAAGGAACTCCACTGAGGTCCGAAAGCCTAAAAACTAAAATTTAAATTTCTAACATAGATCTGATGGGGCAATTAAAACCAAAAGATATAAGATCCTTAAAAATATATTTAAATAAATTGAAATTTGTATTCTTGTGCTATTTTTAGTCAGATTTAAGCAATGCTTTTTTAAGTTCTGGTCATTTTTCACTATTCTGGAAAAACAGAGTGAGCACATGATCTGAAATTTTGCACATAAGTTATTGGTCTAGACCTACATCAAATGGAATATTAATCTTGAAAAAAAAATAATTCAGTCCTGACATGTCAAAAAACCTCAGTGGAGTCCCTTTAAACATTGTTTGTTAGTTAGCAGATTAATGGTTAATGATAAAGCACTCACCATCAATTGAGCATCCTCCAAAGTCCTACATTGTACATGCATAACAAATGGTTCAAACTTGAATACAGCATTTCCTTCAATAGTTTTAAGTTTGTCTTGCTAGAAATAAATAAATACTGATATAACTAATAGTTTTAAGTTTGTCTTGCTAGAAATAAATAAATACTGATATAACTAATAATTTTAAGTTTGTCTTGCTAGAAATAAATAAATACTGATATAACTAGTTCTCATTAGTAATTACAGATTCTATTTAACATGGCATACACCTGTTTAAGAATTATACATGATTTCCAAATTCTGGTATATTCAGCCAGAGTGTAGACTCTCCCTATTCCCAACACAGTGTAGAATCTCCAAATCATGATATTTTTCAGTATATATATTTTTTATCGGAAGCGTTATCCTACAATGATGTTGTATATATTTGAGTCTCATCCATACTAAATAACATAAAACAATTCAGTTACATAATATACAAAATAAAAGTTGTTTGTGTACTGCCATTCTAATTAGAATTACAAGAGACTATAAAAAAATAATCTAATGGAAGGGAGGCAACTTTGCAAGAGATTTCCAATACAACTTACAGAGTTACCTCTCTTCTTACTCCAAATTCAACTTTATATTGCTAAAATAAGAAACTATTGCTAATCTTGTTCTAAAAGACCTAAGGAATTTCTGGTACAATTGCTTTTTCAGCAACAACCAAATGGTATCATCATTCATTCAAGTTGTTATTTAATATTCTTCACTTCCTGTAAATAGTTTAAAGAACAAAACTCAAAAGAATACCTCTTTAACATTTATGAAAAGTAATTGAAAATGCACAAAAGAACTGAGCGACTTATACATATATAAAGTTATTCATTATAACTGTCAGATTATATTTTCATAAAAAAAACTGGTAAATAATAAATTGTAATAATACCAGTCTCTTATAGGCAAACAAATCAAATAAAATTTCAATATTCAAATATTATTTAATTTTCAGTAACCTTAATTTTCATTTTCATCAATCACATTCATATTTGACACTAGATATGAAGTCAACTTGTCAATAAAGATATTAACTCACAAGTTCCTGCCATGTTATGGTATCATGAGATGTTAGAACCCATTTGCATCCCTGTTTCTTGATGCTTCCATCAACATCCTGAAAATTTAGTCCATAAAACAGTTCATTGCACAAAATAACAAGAAAGCTAATACAGGAAAATATCTTACATCTAAGCATGTACTTTTTTACTTTCCATGTCAGTTTTACTAATCTGTTTTCAAAATAGATATATTCAAATTGTACTTGTTGCAACCATGTGATTAGCCTTTGTCCCCTTAACAGAGCCAGAGGGCTGTTTGTAGCTCAATATTTTTGTATCTTGATGCTGATATCTCTGCAAAATTGAACTGGTCCAACTTTGAAAATGGAAAATTCATAACACAAATCCAGCAGATTAAGAATAAAAACATTTCTTACAGCTTGAAGCTAAATGAAAGATACAAGGCAAGATTTAGGAAAATTTGAATCACTGACAAGATTTCTTCATTGCTGTAACCTTAACATTGTTTTTTTAGAAGAAAGATATTTTGACTACAGTTGCCCTTCATCACACAATTTTTCGATTAAGAGGCAGCCACTTTTACCACTAGGTCCCTTAGTGATGTATTTTTATGTCAATAGCAACATTTGTGCCTATTAGCACAAAGAGTTAAGTAAATAAAATTCAGTGACCTTAAACACATGAGCCCTTATCATTTTTTTTAATAAAGTTTTTAAAAAAAAATAATAGTTGTTAATATTAATGTTAAACCTCTAACAACCAGAATCTCAAAACATGTATTCATGCTATATTTTAACTGTTGTTAAAACTTACATTGTCAACCACAATGATTCTTCCAGAGCATGAACTGGTGGTAAAATAGTTTGACTGGTTATTTATAAATGCCACCAGGTCAATGATGGGAGCATCTATTGAGCCTTTCCTACTTAAATCTACTGCTGACAGGCAATTTGTCTTTTGTGCATCAAACAAATCCTTGCTCATCATGTAACCAACTGAAATTATAAGCATATATTATCCCTTTATTCAGCTTTGCTTGTTTTATAGTTTTCTTATCTGCAAGTTTTAAAATCATTAGTTTGTTAGATGCCAAAAAACAAAGCATTTACAGTGTGTATCATTTAATTTCATAAACCATTTTCAAACAAAGGTGTTTTATGCAAGATATTAATGACAAAACTATTTATAGACAGTGTACAATCATGAAATCACTCTTGTAAGACTACAGAGAATCACTCTTGTACAGGTTTATCAAAGTCTACCAAGCAGTCATTGAAAGCTAATTTCTTTTTTTAGCTCTATCAACAACAGACCAGAACCATTTTGAGCAATTTCTGAAAAGGACTATCAAAAGTAAAAGTGACATGTGACATATAATCACTCTAATTCCCATGTTTCAAGCTGGTGTTAGTCATGCTGCTGGTGGTAAGAGACTATTCTAAGAGAAAGAATCACAACTTAGCTGTGTCACCTAATATTGGTGTGAAGGAAATTAGTGGCAATCTCCTGAAATTCTCTAAGTAAAAATTACTCAAATCATTCCCAACAAAATATCAGTATTTCCCATGAGTGCATTTCTTGCATTTTTGACTTCCTTATTTTACTTATGATGCAATGAGTTTCATAGCATGTGTTTTCTGTGATGCTACTTAATTTGTCAGTGTATGGGGTCAATATTTGGTTGAACAATAAGATTTTTTTTGACAATTACAGATGCAAGGCCCATCACGAGCAAACTTTAAATTGACACAAAGAAGTCATTGTCAAAAACTTTAAATCCCATGCACTTGTTGCTTGACTTTTTCAATTAGTGATTAAGTACAATATTGTTAGCCAATCAGAGTGCCCCTTTTAACATGAGTGACCGAATAGATTACCAGATACTGTGGTATGTTCACCAACGCTGAATTCGTTAAAAACAGACTAGAGAAAGTTATAAGAAACAAATTATATACTGTCATTCCGGAAAATAATTATTGGGTGTCAGTCCTTGAGGGGGTTAAAAGAGATTTCTGATCTCGCAACCCTACGCTGGATAAAGTAAAAGTAAAGTAAAACCATTTTCAAGTTGAACAAAAAAAAATCCCATGTGGAAAGTCTAAAAAAAAGTAACACTATAATGTCTCTATTGTAAAAACTTTGTCCTTAATTCCGGATTATGTCACAAACCTGCCTGAACGGAAACTTTGTGAGACGTCTTATTGTTTAATTTTAGGCAGCAAATTAAACAACTTTTGCCAAGTTTTGTTTTTTGTTTAATACGACTACAAATGGAGATTTTGTATAAAGGGGAAGTAACAAATATTAAAAGTTCAGTTTTGCTAAAACCCGTTACCTATATAATACCGTACAAAAACTTCCGTTTTTATTTACTTTTTAATCAAAAGTGAAATGTTATTTTTTACATCAAGCCTTGCAGATAAAGGTAGCCTAATTTAAAACAGATTGCGGGGGCAAGTGATTACTAACATAGATGTATCTCCATTTATCTTCATTTAAACACGGATTTATATTACATCCGTGATTTAAATTAAGTTAAAAAAACGACAGACGGCGCATAAAAAACGCGCCTTCTGTCGTCTGCAGTTTCGTGAGGAAGGATTGTAATGCACCAGTTAATTGCAAAAAACTGCGACAAAAGCGTGACCTTTACATCCGGCATTTCAAACCCTGACAAACGTCAAGGACCAAACTTGATGATGCATTGTTCCGGTATCAAATCGGATAATTTCCCGTTATATTTTCAAATTTCCATCAGAATACATATTCCATGGTTCAAAAAATAAACATGTTAAATGTTAACTTGTAGGCCTATTTTATTTTCAAAGGCAGTAGCTGTTGCAAGTTACATGTTAATTAAGAAGAAGAAGAAGAAGTAGTAGAAGAAGTAAGAAGAAGGAAAGAAGAAGAAGAAAGAAAAAGAAAAGAAGAAAAATGTGATTTGAAGAAAAAAATATGATCCTGTTTTTATTTTGAAATGTTTGAAAATTGCTATCAATTAAATGTTTTCTTCATTAATTTTATCGTAGTATATCAGATTTGTTTCTCAGATATTTTCAGGCCTTAGCTAATCATTAGCTAGGATGTGTAATATAAGTCTTCGTAGTCTGGTTGTAAACGGAAGGTATTCAATTCTTTGTGTATTCAAAGGGCAGGTAATCAATACTAAGCTCTGATGTAATAGAACAAATGGGATAAAACAAGGCATGTGAAATTTAACTTATAGATTCAAAGCCAGCTGATCCTAACCATGTGGACCTGTTACTTTTCTATAATGGAAAACAAATTAAGTACTATGATTTTAATTATCTGTCATAATTCAAACTGTTTATTCTAACATTAAGGTAGCATGTATCTTTTACCGTACGTACATTGTAGTACGTCTCAATAATTTCAGACATTTATTCTACAGTTGGTTAATAAACTACAGAGGCTCAACATGAAACTCAATTTTAACAAAGTAGACCAAAATATTTTCGGATAAAGGACTCTCTAAGCTACTGAATAATGTAGCAAAAACTTCAGTAAATTATTCTTTTAATACAAAACCGTTTCATTTTCTCAAATAAAAGTGTAATTTTATCCGAGATCATTTCAACTGTAACCTTTATTAACAAACGTATTGACATGTGAAATAAGATAGATTGTGATTGTGAATGCGTATATCTGCTAATTTGGCATTGGAATATCGATAATCGCCGTGAATTATAAAATTCCGACTATATTTAATACACACATCTGCGTTAGGCGTTTAATACATCGAAGTTAACAACTGTAGAACGGCGCGGACTAGATCAAACTGTTTGATAAACTTGATGTTAAGTATATAGATCTATTAACAAGATCAATACCAAGTATATAGCCTTTATGTAATGTTAAGTTTATAACTAATAAAGTATTTGCAAAGCATTCAAAAATTCATTAACCCGTATCTTTTTCCCTGTCTTAAACGTAGGAATCTTGTATTATTTATAGGGACTGCACATAAAATACAAATTAACCCATCGATTCTTATTCACAATATTGTTTTGCTGTGTTAGTTTTCTCGGTTAACGAAATTGAACGGGACAAACAACATCGGTACGTTGGATAGAAAGTTTGTGAAAACAATAATTGGATACATTTGTGAGCTTGCTAACAAATTCCATTAAATTAATAAATTTTTCTGCCGTTCGTTTTGTTTGATTTCAAAAGATACGTCAAGTATTAGACTATGTGTATTACACACTTGCTTTAACTTTACAGCGGTTATTGTTAAGCTGAATGAAATGAATGTATAAATCACTCTTGTGTATATCACTACCATTTTTTTTAAAACCCATTATAACATTAAGCCGGGTAGTTGGTGAAAACTATTATGACAGAAGGGTTTAATATTGATTTAGACGCGGACGGATTCAGAAAGAACCATTTAGATTGGAGAAAATTCCGCGACAATTACAATCGCGTGTCGGCAACGAAGGTAGAACGTGGAATTAAACCTCTTCCCTTTTCTTTGCTCTTAAAACTTTTCGGATCTCAAAAAGTGTTTAACACTTTTGTGATAACCAGGAGGAATACAAATGACATAGACACGAATTTGTTTCCGCAGGTTTCGAATGAGAAAGTGCCGGAAATGCATCAAGGGGAGATTGCAATTACTAACACTCTAAATTTTCCAGGACAAGGGATTTTGAATACATCATCGGAAGACAAAAATGAAACCCTTGCCAAAGGAGCAAAACAATTAAAACGTGATGCGTTACCTGTTCGACCGGCATTTCAGAGGAATATCCGTGTCCCTGGCAGATATTTTCCTAAGCCGTCACAATCGGTGGAAGATAATTTAAATTTAAGTATTACACCATTCGATAGTGCTAGAGAAAGACCTCGGACTCAAACACCAAGGTCGGTCCATTCATCTACTTATAGTTTCGGAGGATCTACAAGTCACTCCGGCAAAGGGTTTAGAAATCTTCGAATTGCTAGGGGACCCGTGTGTAAAGCCAACGATTCTTTTTTATCTAATCCTGGACGAACACAAAGCTGGTCTGGAAAATCGTCAGCTGCAACGATAAAGTCTGTACCCATCGATTCGGATGGGTTTTTATCCGTACGAAAAACGGCGACAGCTAATGTCTCTGACCATAAGGCTGATTTATACTCAAACAGTTTTAAAAGTGAAGAAAACGATGTCACGTTCATCGCAAATGGAAATGCCGACGTAAACGGCGATATTCAAAGTGATTTATTTACAGTGCAACGTCCAAAACATAGTGCTCGACAAGTGTCGTTTCCAAAAACTAGTGCCGATTTTAGTGCCGTGCTTCATGGTAGACCAAAAACTTTACACCGACGAGAACTTACTGACTCGCTAGATTTCGTTCGGGAACCGAGAGCTCGTACACATGTGGGATTTGCGGACATGAACTTGTGAAAAAGTTCGTTAAATGCTTATTTAATTTCTATTACCTAAGATGCTTGACTCATAATTGTTCATGTTATGTAAACGAAAATGATAAAATTAAAATAAGGTTTAAACATAAAGTTTAAATATATGATAGCAATCACATAGGTGAGTTCTTTTTATATAAAGATATTTAACCTCATTGTAATAAATACAAAATGAAACATAGGATGTATATGCACAATTTATTTCAGTTCATGATAGGATTTCTGATATATTTTGCTTTGAAAAATGAGTCAAATTCTTTGGTAAAAAATTTCTATTTTAACTAACGATAGTTAGTAAGGGGAAATAAGTAAAAAAAAAATGTTAAGATTTAAGTGTAAATCTCAGTATCCTATATATATTTTTTATGAAAATTATTTGATAATATACATGCATTAAAATGTTCCTCCCGAATATATAATTTTTTAAGCGAATTTGAAAATTATGCCTCTATGTTTTCATGATTTTAAAGCTGCATGTCTCCAGATGAGCCAAACAATTTCAAAAAAATCAACCTTAAGATAATTGAACTAAGATTTTAAGAAAAGTAAAAAAAATATTTATAAAAAATCAAGTAATAATTTTCATGTTACATGAAAGACTAATTTTACTGTATTTATCATCATATTTGTATTGTGTAACTATAACGTAGTAAGCGATTTTTTATACATATTTTGTCTTTTATTCTTGACATTTATTTTTATATTTTACATGGATTGAAAGTGCTGTTTTACTTTCTTTGTTCACTTGAAAATATTTTATTTATTAAAACTTTTTTTTAAAATTTTCGTGAAAATTTGCATGAATCTGGAGGCATGCTGCTTTAAGTACACAATGACCTTAAGTCATGCCATTGTACCTCAAATATATGCATTACATTAAATTATAAAACAAATTCTGTAAATCATTTGTATTTTGTAATAATACTTAGTTTCTCTTTTGTTTCAAAATGTAAATTAACTAAAACATGCAGGTACGGGTCCGAGGAGACGATGGGTCATATATATTCCAGAAGGGGTCGTGAGTAAAATTTTTGCATGATTTTGGCTAAAACGAAGGAAGTAAGAGTTCAGCAAACTACCAAAGCCCCAGAATGTCATAAACCCCAACCCCCTTCTCCGAATCAGCGCATGACATGTATAATGTACCACAACCTTTGTTGCGACAATGCAAAGCATTTATCACTAGTGTACAACTTAACTTTAGTAGGTACATCTGAGCAGTCTGGCCATTAAAATAACTACTGGCTGCCCAACTGATCTACGTATGTTTTATGCTATCCATTTAACAAAAGGTCAAGTGACTATCACCTTGTATAAGATTAGTACAACACATAAGATAATCGGAAAGCAATCTATGCTTTAAGGATTATAACATTTCATTTCAACTTTCATATATATTAAGGAATTAATCTGGATTAAGACATTTGTACTTTCTGTCTACCTATCTAAAAGTCTTGGTATGTCGGTTTTTGTGAAGGTACTATATACATGTAGCATACTGACAAACAACACAAAGAGAGGCATTGTGTCAACAGTAATATTTTGAGAGAATATATGGCATTCTTGAACATGGAGTCGATTAGAAACTCTTCTATTTCAAATGCTAAAAATCTTTTTTCATATTATTCAAACAATATAATGACCAGATTCACGTCTTACTGATAACTTGTAAATACAACATATATAATGTAGCAATGACATTTAATGAGTTCTATCTACCATAAAAAAGAACGTCGAGCACCACATTGATACACACAGTTTTAGTATTTATTGATTCGATAATAAAGTCAGTATCTTGATTTTTCAAATAGTTTGTGAAAATATCTGCAAAAGTGATCAGTCAAAATGATTAACATTTCTTAAACTATATGGGAATATTTTACATAGGCCTACAAATATTCAACATTCGATACTGTTTATTGAAGTGTATATGAATTAATGGCCTAGACCTATATTTACAAATATATTACATTGAAAAATAAATTACAGATACTTGCCAACAACCAAATAAAGAATACATATCGGAACGTTAAAATAATTTTGATATTAGATTCAAGATATTTTCATTATTTTGTCAAAATTTAATCAGGAAGATATTTTTGATAAAATAAATACCAGTTATGATATAAAAGGATGGAGTTTAATAAAATTGAAAATTAAGCCTGGGACAGAAGATAAACTTTCTGTCCCAGATCAAGCAAATAAAAAAAATAATCAACAAATCAATTTCATGCTTGTATCATAGCCGTTTTTAAAAAACGCTTTGTCATTACACCGGTAAAATCACGTGATCGATCAATGTGAATAGGCGCTTCCTTTTTGAATAATGGCTCCTGTAAGGGTCTTTTGTTTGGATTATCGACACATGACAAGGATAATCTAAAGTTTTAAATCATTTTAACTCATAACTTAAACGAAGCTCTCATCCTGTAAAAAGACAAAAAACATTAACTTTACAGCCGCGGGTTTGTGTCCTACTCTAACTTGAATGTTGTATAAAGACTCTTACACTTCTAAAACCATTATCTTAATGCTTTTATTTCAATCCATGTCATTTAATAATTAATTAGTATTTGCTATTTTAGGAGCATAATGATCATTTGGTCTGCCATTTATTTAGCCAAGTCTTGACACAGTTATCTCTTAACTAATGAAGAACGAAAACGTTTATGTAGAGTGTAGCTTCATTAAATTCCTATTATCTGAACTAATTATGGTAAAAATATTTTCTGTGTAAATTATTTGAGAAATTGTCAGAAAGGTAAAATTAAGAACAAATATTTCTATTGGATAATGCTGAACAAATAGGTATAAGCCGATCATAGATTGGCTGTTCCATATAAGGATGCTGAATCTAAATAGCAGTAACGGGAAGGAAAGATTAAAATAGCGAAAAGATAATTATGTTCAGTATTAGGTTTCAATAACATTTCAATACAAAAATATGCTGAAATATACCGAGATGGCATGATAAACTCAATGATCATTTTGAACACTTCAACATTTTAATTATTAAAAAGGTGGGAGAAGGGGTCTGACCCCATTGCAAATCAATAGGGGACATAACACTTCGTACACACAAAAATATATCGGGATTTTACTGCAAATATTGTGTTATGAATGAATTGGCACAGGAAAACGCGGACAAGAGTTTGTTGATATCTCAGTTTTTAATACATGTATAATACCAAAGATATTAAAGTGTTGTTGTTTGTGTTTCTGACAGTATAAATACATCAAGGGAATAACTAAAAACCAGCGATAGAACAAAAGTTACCTTTAATTTTGAAACATACTGATTTCATTTTAAATTTTGTTGTGAAATACTACATACATTTATATATAAAGATATGTCTGTTCTTCCCATTCAACATTACATTATTAGGATTCATAGAACGAACACAGATAATATAATTGATTCGGAGTAAATAAAGAATGCTGAGAACATAATGAAAGATGTTCGTATGTGCAAATAGAGCTTGGCGTTATAGTTGATATTTAAATTCACAGTTAATATGTTTTATTTACCCAGAAACAAAACTACCGCCTTCTTTTTATAGCATCGGATACATAAAACCATTACAAGTTCTTGTTTATGTACGTGTATGCCCTCCACTGTCTGCTGTCATTGTACATTAAGGTCTTTGACAAAAAAATTATATGAAAAGCAAATCTACTCTTTGTTTTACTTTTCATGACCTCTAACATAAATAGATGATTTTAAAAACCAATCTGCAGCATTTTATAGTTTATAGAATCTTTAAAAGCGTTAGATTCAATATCTTTAAAACATGACAAATGGATAAATCACACTAATCATGCATGTACCCCGGATCATTTTTATGTCATGTAATTGAAAGTTCATTCACTAAAATGGATTAAAGATTTAAAGCTTATTTCATTCAAGTAAAGAAATAAATAGGCTATGTGCTAGTCCAATTAAGTGATCAAGTTATTCAATTGTTGTATTTGGCATGGCTTATCAGCTAGCCTTTCCATAATTTTGCGTAGGGTAAGTTGATATTTGTTTATACGCGTTGCTGTTGGAGGTATAAAATGCTAACTGTAGTTATTTTAGGACTGTTTTTCTTAATTTTGGGGTTATAATGAATTGTTTTCTTATTATTACAATTTTTGATTGCAAATGACAAAGATTTTTTAAATTATAAAACTATTATACAATTGATATTTCATGTTTATTTCAAAGTTTTCTTTTGCTTATATATTGTCCAAACAACCATATTGTATTTCCTTTGACTTTAAGGCCAATTCGCTTTATCTTCAAAAAAACAAAAAAACAAACAAAAAAAAAACCAACTAACTTTTAACCAATTTAACATTCGAATCTTTCCTTTTAAAGCATAGGTACATAATACCATTCATAAATCTTTAAAAAGTTTACTTTTTTAAGTCATTTTAAGTCATTTTAATTAATTTTCATGACAAATTTGTGATTTCTTAGTGTTTGAAGATTTTATAGCAGTCTAAGAACAGGCTCTATCAAATTAAGCACGCAATGTTCTCAATTTTGCAGTTTTGTACGTCTTTTAGGGCTTTTAAAAAAAGATCTTCGCATTTCACATCAAAATGATTTCAGAAGTAAAAAGCAAATTAATCTGAAGGAAACCAGCAAATAAAATATTTGATTGAAGTATTTATAATTACTTTTATCTTTCCTGTTGAACCATATTTAATTCACTTTTGTTTAGGATCCAGTTGTGCACAGAGTTTTGCTAACAACAAAATTAATGTCGATTTCTCTTCTGTGCTTAGGTAGCTTTAGAAATTGGTATATTGTGTTTTAAAACCTCGAAAATCAAGCTGCGTTACCTGTGCTGCAGATTCACACAATGACAGTCTTTATGTACGTACGTATGTGTTTTGCGTCTACCTTATGACCATTTAAAGTATGTAGGTGACACGTTGGAGCGCATTTCCAACCTAATACAGCTTTAGGGAAATATTACATGCGGAAAAGCTACAAGTACCATTTACAAAAGCCGTTAGTATGACCCTTTGTGTCTCCTTGTAGATTATTAAGGCAGTAGACTATAACTGTAGGCGGTCATCCACCAAGTCACTGATGCTGTTAGAGGCTGGACACCATGCAGAATTAAAGCAATATGATTACATTAAACAGCATTATATAAAATTACATCTTAAATGTCATAATGATTTTGCTTAAGCATCTTAGTTGACCTCGTTATGTTTAAATAAAAACCAATTGCAAGATGATCACCATTAGCTTTCTTTTGTCAATTAGCTTTGTTATATTGTATTAAGGATCAGTACTTCCATTTTTATAACGTAGTATTCTTATTTACAATTTATTGATTATCTAAATTGTAATCCGCTTAATCGATAAACTTTAGAATACCGATCATGGTATGACATAACTACAGATCTGTCTGATACTGTGTATTGAGGATTAACGAATAATCTATTGGGTTTGAAACGATAATGTAGAAGATAATCTCCGTATTGCTGGTATATGAAATGGGGCGGGTAAACGCGACTATAGGCAATTTTACAGACATAATTGCGACCAACAATGCATTTAACAGCACTGTAATTGCTCGTTTGACATTGCTTTGTAATGGTACAGGTAAAGCAATTAAGATAGACATAAAATGTCTATGTACTTTACATGAAAATTATTTGGTTTAAAAAAGATCTGTAAAATTGTCATAATGCGATGTAAAGCGATATTATGCGGGCTCAGAAATTAAATGCTACCTACAGACTCACGAGAAACGTGCATTAACCATATTTAATTTACCACGTGTTTCTTCGTCATTTCTAACTAAACAAAATTAAATGCCAGTTTTGAATTCAAGTTTTAAACTTAAAAGAATATATTATATTAGCTTTTGAATCAGGGATACGTAGAATAAGTACGTTTTAAGGTATATATCCATTGGCCAACCATTGAGTTTCGTGTTTACTTCAATGTGTTGCACACTCTCTGCTGAATAAACTCATTCAAACCGAGACTACAAATAATGCACAAATCGGTGCTAGAGGACATGAAAGATGTTGCACATTACATTATCTGTCTTGAGAAAACTCAATCAAACCAAGTCTGTTCATTTTAACCCTTTTCATTTTGTTTTTATTAGTCTTGAGGGATTTTCCCTTTTTTAGAAATCAAAAGATTTAAATTTCCAAAAATATAAAATGTAAGCTAAAGAAAACAACATAAACAATGTTATAATGCCAATATTTTATTCGTAATATATGCCCTACAGTCCGAAATAAAACCAGGTTTTCAATTAAACAAAGAGTGATATAAATATATATTAACATATCAGTTACTTGCAAGTAAGTACATGTAATATGTTTATATAAAGGTTTAAAAGGTAATAAAATTAAACATATAATGTACATATGTCAAATATGATCAATATCAGAGTGTTGAAGAGGTTAATATTCATTTGATAACGAAAATGAACAATAAACGAATTTGTAATTGAAATATAACAAGTTAAAATCAGTGTTTAAAATTATTAATATTACTTGTAGTACATTTTTAATACACATTTAAGCGTTCTGTCAACTCACTGTATAGAATACTGCATCGTCCAATGAACATAATTCAGATGCAATACATGTTTATCCATGTGTAAAATATTCCCATGTACAATTCTAAATATACAATATGTCTTGACTTGCCAATCAGAAAGAAAACTGTCAATATTTGCGTGGCGCAATAGGTGGCATATTAGTAAATAAGTTGAAGTATTAGATCTATTAGCAAAAGTATTACATCTTAGATCTATTAGCAAAAGTATTAGATCAATTAGCAAAAGTATCAAATCAATTAGCAAAATTTTCATATAAATTAGAAAAAGTATCAGATTAATGAGCAAAAAGTATCAAACCCTTTAGCAAAAGTTTCATATAAATTAGAAAAAAGTATCAGATCAATAAGCAAAAAGTATCAAATCAATCATCAAAAGTTTCATATAAATAAGAAAAAGTATCAGATCAATTAGCAAAAGTATCAAATCAGTTAGCAAAAGTTTCATATAAATTAGCAAAAGTATCAAATCAATTAGCAAAAGTTTCATATAAATTAGAAAAAGTATCAGATCAATTAACAAAAGTATCAAATCAATTAGCAAAAGTATAAGATCATAATATTGTTATACAAATCTAAGTACACAATACATCTAACATGGCAAACAATTTATATTGAATAGTTTGAAAAGACAAGATTCAAACTAAGTTGATTTACCTCTACTTACAATTTATGTCTATCATTATGCAAAGTGTAACATACATCAAGTTATCTAGTTTTATAATATTCAGTTTCGCACGCAATATTTACAAGGACGAAATTAAAACAAAACTAAAAGGAAACAAACCATAAGTATGATGTAACAAACTTACAAGCTCATGAGTAAATTTAGGTATTAGTCTATTATCTGAACACAGTTTTCCGTATATACAAATTTCTAACTGTGATTGACGGTTGATTAACACTAATTGCTTGTGACAAAAATAACTGCCTAAACAACAACAACAACAACAACAACAAACGTGTTTTCCGCCTGTACTTTCTATATACATGTATTTCTCACAAGTATCATATTATTGTAGTCTTTTGAAAAAACATGCATTTTAACACATCACCCCTCCCAGCAGCACGTACGTTTTTAAATACTAATCAGAACTCCGGAAAAAATATTTGTACCAGAAGAATTTTCCCAGAAGACAGTGCTGCCTGAAAAATAGCCGACTTTAATGCGCACTTGTTCATTTGTATTAAGTACCAAAACATCTACCATTCTTCGGCAAGCGCCGCTCATTTTACCACCATCCGTATACATGCTGTTTACGGTCGTTTGACCTTGCACTAATTGAATTTGAACTCTCTTGTTCTGATACACACATAATTGACACGTGAATAGATATAACCCTCTAGTTGCTGCTGTATAGATGCCTGTTGTATTATCATAGCCGGTGTTGTTGTCGAAATGCGTTGTAGTAAATATCAATGTCTCACCTGTGCTGGGATTGAGATTCTTCAAATTACTGGCTTTGAAGGCAACCGCTGAAGCTGTAGTGTATGATGTTATGAAATTATGAAATTATCATAATAGTATAGTATACAAATAAAAGTTCTTGCAGAATATAGCATATGATTATAAGAACAAAAGTGCATACTGTGGGAAATGGGAACCTTGAGACAATAGCTGCCTCTTTTAATTAATCAAGTGAAACTCAGAAATGATTTTCTTTGCATTTCCTTTTACAATTCATATTCAAATAACCCGGTTTCATTATTAAAATCTAGAATACATCATGCCAAATCAAATATCATTAAAAATTTACTTTATCGATTGATGTAAGAGCATGTACATACGAAGAGCGCTGTAGTTAAGAGCATATTAAATATGACATTTTATAAATCAAAATTCGGGCACTTGTTGAAAAACACAAAATAGAAGTTTGTTTTGTCAAACAAGTCATAAAAATTGAAGCATTCTAAATGTTGTCGTCCTAAGTATGATATCATAAACACGTATGCATTTTTGACTTTTTTTTGTTTTCTCTTTCTATGTTTCGAACTAACGCCGCACGTTCGGGGTTTGATTAACTTGCTTTAGTTACATAATTAACATTCAATTAATGACATTACACAAATATGCTTTGGTCACAATATTTAGAATTGCAAAATAAATTGAAAAGAATTCCTCGTTACTTTATTATTTGCAATCAAAGTGATATTCTGATATCAAGTTTAGCTGAATTTACTATATATTTCAAAAGATTTGGCGGTCATATTTGGTCTCCCGAAAGTGACAATTTTAATACAAGTTTAGTCATGAGAGAATTATAGTGTTGGGTCCCGGCTCAAAAACGAAACGAAAGCGCAAACATACTCTAGGCTCAGGTCGCGAATTGGTTGAACTGTTTACATTTTGGACTCTGAAATCTTTACTTTGTCGTAACTTTGAGACTTGATGGTATACGGTATTTTTTCATATAATTTGTATAAATATGTTGAAAACCAGATTTATCGTTGTAACAAATGTCCAATTCGTGTTTAAATATTGAAATATTTTTGACTGTGTTACAGGGGCATATCACGTTGGGGTTGGCAGGATCTGACCCCCAATCGTCTGTGCATAAATCTTGTACATCAGGATGCAGCTAATTTTGTATCGTTCAAAAAACAGTAGTACACGTATAGTAATAAAATAGTCGTGTTTTCTAAAAGTTATGAAGAACTGAAGCATAACACTTCAGTTTTACTTACAATTACTTAAATAAGACAAGACGAAATGATGGTTTTTTTTGATGTGCCGGTAAAACTTTTGTTTGGTCGCACAATGATGACGCGAATAAGATTATATAACACAGATAATTTAGTAACATTATACCCGGCAATTGCTTTTAGTGGCGTCCAATTGCAAATGTTTAAACAGTCTGTGCATGCTTATTGAAAAAGTAACTGCACTGAAATTTTGTGACTTTGTGTCTCAGTTGTCACATGAAAAACATTGCATCCGCGCTCTCTCATTTTTCGCGTGCGTATACACGAAATAAAAACAAACTGAATAAAAGAATGCGGCAATATGGAGCCCATTCTAACGCGACATCACCAAACGACAGTACGGTTTTCCGTTTGGTTTTGTCGACTGCCATTCGCATTGTCTAGCATTGTCTTGTGATGGCCTTTAATAGTCGTTGACCACAAAAATATATAGCTAAAGTAGTACATCTTACAAAACAGTTTGTAAATAAACATAGGTAATTTAATTTTAAATATAAAAGTGTATTTTAGTAATTTAAAAGTTATTCACAACAAATAAAATATATCAAACCTTTCTCCGATTTCGCTTTGCACTCTTTTTCATGCCTTTCCTCCAAATCTTTAAGGTCGTTTTTGATTTTCTCCAAGTCTTCTTGATTTTTCTCCAACGCTGCTTTTGTGATTCCATCCCTTTCTGAAAGCTCGGATTTTAGCCTTTCAACAATGAATTCAGTTTTGATAATTTTTTCAAGAGTTCTTTCCTCGTAATGAAATCTGGAGCATTCAGGTTCACTTGAACAGAATGTCCAAAAAGAAATTAGAATCAAGTATATGCACGAATTCACTGTTATGCTTCCTCACGGGACTAAACAATTATTACTGACATCCATTTCTTTTTATAAGCTACGTCAGAAGTTCGTTATCATCTTCACAGTTATTTTGTAGGGCTTTTATTTGATTTATGATATCATTATTCTCAATAAATAAAAGAGCGATAACGCCTTAATTGCTTCATCTATCTTTATTGGCTTACTCTTAAAATTTAATAACAGTTAGACACCTGCATCATAACTGTCTTAAAACATTCTGAGATCGCATTTACGAGCCTAAAGAAAGAAAAGATTTGTTGTTCGAGATGCTTCTATCTCAGTTAATCTTAGATTATTTCAAACATGTTCATTTTAGCTCTATTAAGAAACATGTTCTTCAAAGTTAAATTCAACATTTTCGAGTCCGCTCCAGTACTGGTGTCGTATAAGGTAACATAATTATGACCCAAGTAGGACAAAACCCTCTGGTTTAAGATATCTTAAACACTAGAATACCACTTATATTTAATATAAATCTGGTATGAATGATATAGTAGTTTTATCATATTGAACTCGTTGTCTGCGAAAAGTTGGTATTACTACTCACCTTACAGGTCAACGCAAGTGGTTCAACCTACAACTCATAGCAACTCTTCCTTATCTTAATGTATAAACGAGTATTAGATTTTCTGATTTTCTTAAATTCAAAATTTCTTTTTCAATGATAGGCTTATTATTTCAGTAATCCTAATGATAAATGATAACTTTGCAAGTTATACCCTAAAAATAGTTCTTTTTAAATAACGAATACAAAAAAAAGTATAACACACTAATATCCATTGAATAGTGTATATGTCAAATGTATGATACATTTGTTTTTGTCATTTTTATGTTGTCTTGCAGTATACTTTCTAATAACCTGCAAAAATAAACCAAAACAACTTTATAAACTTTAGATAGGATAGTTAAAGTGTGATTTTATAAAATATACAAAATTTCTTTCGGACGAGTTCTTAGCTTCAAATGTTTATTTTTTCTCTCTCCAAGTATAACAAACGAAAGCTAGTGTTGATATATTTTGTTTGACTAGATATTTCATTAATACTACAAAGATACTTATATTTGTCTAAAATCTAACAAATCATTATTTACTGTATGCAAGAGAACCTTGACATTTTATTCCGACAATAACGATCACTATCTCACGGAACAAGTAGGTGTATCAAAGTAATAACCACAAACTTCAGAGTAATCAATTTCAGACAAGCACCAGGTACATGACTTCCTGTCGAGATAGGGCCTAGGTACACAATTTTGAACTACGATAATATTAAACTATTAAACGATAAAAATCTCAAAACTATACGCTGCGTGTGGCTTTGCTGTGATTCTCAGAATTTTGACTGATTCTCAGAATTTCGACAAAAATTGTGTTTAACGTGATCATTCCCAGTAACCAAATTATCAAGGAATTGTTTGTTCAAAATCATTTCATTTTCATAGTTGCTTTAGATGGTGATATATCGAATGAATTTGATGTTGTTTATTGAATGCATTCATCCACGCGCCTTTCTATGTTGATCTTGTTTATCACATTTTTAAACATCGAAAATAATGCTGCGTTACCTATGCTTCAGATCCATACGATGACAGACTTTATGTACGTACGTATGTGTTTTGCGTCTACCTTATGATCATTTAAAGTATGTAGGTGACACGTTGGAGCGCATTGTACAACCTAATACAGCTTTAGGAAAGTATTACACGAAACATCACCCTGTAAAATCAAACTATTAACCGGAGTCTGATGAAATCTGAAACTGTCGTATTCATGCTGAACATGCGAAAAGCTACAAGCACCATTTACAACAAGAGCACCGCTGGGCGGAACATTATATGCCCGAAAGTACTTTTTCTTTTCGCAAGGATGAAGCATTTGTAAGACATGGGAATTAAATACAATATTACCTCCTTCAAAAAGCAATCCTCCTTTATAGCTGAACAACATTTATGTATATATACAGTTGCTGTTTTCAAAGCACCACCATCAAGTTGTTATCTTGTAAGTAAAAATGCTACAAAAGATGGACGAAAAGACGTCAGGGGTATAAAGCTGTTAATCCTATAAAATGTTACAGCTGCAGGTTGATTAATACTTGAGTTATTGAAAGACAACTGTTTCCAGTTTAAAGGTGATATTTACCTTGATCTTTGACCTTGTGACCCCAAAATCAGTAGGGGTATTCTACCTAATATGGACCATCATCCTATAAAGTTTGAATACTGTGGGCCAAATAGAATTTAACTTATGCTCCCGAAACCATTTTCAGTATCAGGCTAATAGTGACCTTGACTTTTGACCTTGTGACCCCAAAAAACCATAAGGGTCTTCTACCCAATATGGGCTATTATCCTATGAAGTTTGAATACTGTGGGCCAAATGAAACTTAAGTTATGCTCCGGAAACCATTTTCAGTTTAACGGTAATAGTGACCTTGACCTTTGACCTTGTGACCCCACAATCAATAGGGGCCTTCTACCCGATATGGACAATCATCCTATGAAGTTTGAATACTGTGACCAAATGGAACTTAAGTTATGCTCCGGGAACCATTTTCAGTTTTAGGGTAACAGTGACCTTGACCTTTGACCTTGTGACCCCAAAATCAATAGGGGTCTTCTATCCAATATGTGCAATCATCCTTTAAAGTTTGAATACTGTGGGCCAAATGGAACTTAAGTTATGCTCCGGAAACCAAATTGCTAACGGACGGACGGATGTTCTTACCAGAGCTACGTTATGGGGTTTTCTTTTGTTTTTTCTTTTGTTCTTTTTAACCCCACAATGCAGAAAATAATCCCACAAGAGAAACGGAATGAATGATATCAAAGACATCTATTGTTATGAGAACAATAGACCAAATCCCATAATGTAGCTCTGGTTTGTACGGGCGGACGGACAGACGGACACCAGGGGGTATAACATAATAT